GCCCCCCCCCACCTGGCCGGCCTCTTCGGGCACCACTACAGTTTCATGTTTCATCCGAGGATCCGGAGTGAAGGCATGACCAGAGACAGAAGCAGGAGAAGGGGAGGCAGTGGGGGGATACCTGGTCGTTGCGGGGGGCAATGAGATGGAGCTCTACAGACAGGCCTTTTCTGGAAGCAGCAGCACTGCAGGGGGAGTGTTGAAGGCCCAGGCAGGAGCATTTGAGCATCAGCCAATGGAAGAGAATATCTGCAGCTCAGGGTTGAACTGTGGAGTCCGTGGTGCTCTCTGAGCTTGGTTGTTTTCCTGCAGACATTTCATTACCCGTCTAGGTAACATCATCAGTGCTAGAAGGGAGTGGGGTTTGCTCCCTCCTTATATACAGAAGCTTGCCCTGCCATTGTTGGTTGGAGTGTGGCTTTCTCCTTGGCAGTTCCTTGATTAGGGTGTTGTTTTCTGCTTGACTGTTTGTCTGGTGTTAATCCTTGTTTATCTGGGTGTTGGCTGCTGGAGAGGATGTGTTCTGGTCTTTCTGTTTCTTTTTATTGCCTCTTTTGAACGGTGTGTACATGTCGTTTATCTCCTTGTGTCTGTTGATGGCTGATGTTGATTGATGATGAAGCAGCAGCAGCACCACTGTGCAGCTTCTTTCTCCAGCCTGGGAACCTGCTCTAAGTGGTGGCCTGCAGGCGCCCTTCCCTCCAGCCAGCACCTGGCCCCTGCCAGCCACGGGCGTCCCCAGTGACCTGGTGATCCCCAGTTGCTGGTGCCCCACACCCTCTCCTCTGGAGGAGCCAGTGGCAGCTCCCGGCTGGGCTTCTTCGTGCCCCGCACCTGCCCGCATCTTCTGTCCCTCACAAACCATCTCCCTGCTTCTGGTTGGACGAGCCACAGCCTGCCCGCTCACCCTTTCCAGCCGGGAGGGCGTGGAAGGGGAAACTGGGCACTGCCCCTTCCCTTCCAGGTTCCCCCTCAACTCTGCTCTGAGTGGGTGTTGATACCAGGCCCACTC